AAAAAAAAAAAAAAAAAAACTAAACCTACTGCCATCAAGTTGATTCCAACACATAGCGACACCCATTAGTTTTCCGTGGTGGTAAGTATTTACAGAAGCAGATTGCCCAGTCTTCCTTCCACGGAGGGGTTAGCGGGTTTGAATCACTAACTTTCTGGTTAGCAGTCACATGCCTTAGGCATCTACCAGAGCTCCTTACTGGCATACAGTAAGCGCTCGGTAAATGTGTAGCGAGGGCTGCTTCCAGGCTGTTATTGTTAGCCCTAACCAAGCTGGCCACAGCGTCCTCTCTTGTTCGTCACCTTTCTCATGCCTGTCTTCAGGCAGCAGGAGAAGGAAGCCCCCTCCCACTGGGAAACCACCTGACTGCTCTCCCCCACGCCCTCCCCGCTAAAAGTGTAGCCAAACCCACCGTGCTGTCATGGTGGGAGGAGGGATGTCGTGTCTTCCCGCATTTCTTTCCACAAACCCCTACAAGCAACTGGGGCGCTCTTCCCCGAAACCCAGGTGAGCTTCCTGGGGGAAGCCCACCTCTCTCTACGTCACAACCTGTCGGCGCCGCCCCGCCGCCACTCAGAACCCTAGGGGGCAGGGTTAGAGGCCGCACCCCACCCCCCCCAACAAAGGCCAAGGGTGCGTGGGGTCAGCCTGGGTGGGAACGAAAAGAAGCGCCGGGTTCTAAAGGGAGAAGCTATAGGGTTGAAATTTGTTCTACTTTCCTAAGATAGAGGTGGAACTGCCTGAGAGAATCGAGTGGTTGGTACAATGATGGGTGGGGCCAGAGAGGAGGAGGAGGGCGGGGCGGGGCCCTAAGGGGGCGGGGTCCAATGGAAGGAAGGGCCAAGCTGAGTTCCCAAGGAGGCGGGGAAAAGGGGCGTGGTTAGTCGTCACCACACGTCCTCAGAAGGCGGGGCTGGAGCGAGGGGCGGGGTGAGAACCTGGGTGGCTAGGGGGCGGAGCCTGTAGAGGCAGGGCCGGGTAACTGGGCTCGGCTTCCACCAGGTGTGGCCCAAGGAAGCTGCGCCTGGCTGGGGCAGAGAGGGAGGGCTCGCGAGTCACAGAGCCTTAGGCACCAGCTTCGTGGGAGCCCCGCGGGTCCAGCCCAGGTGAGCAGGGGAGCTGTAGGTCCGTCTAAGGCCATGGGATTATTGGGAGGGCAGTCTTCTCTTCCAAGTGGGCCACACCGGGTGGAAGGAAGGATCCGTGTCAGTCCACGCGTGTCCGCAGATGGAGAAGAGGTCACCGGGGCGTGAGTGGGTCCTTGGG